TCTTTCAGCCCGTCTCTGAGAAGCAGAAGTAACACGAACCCAGGAAGCGCACACGGCCAAGCGTGGCCAAGGGCCAAATATGCCTTTGGTGGCTACTTTGGGTTGTGTTTTCCCTAAAGTTTATTCGTGTCACATGGAAGTGTCTGAAGTGTGTGTTGGGTTACCGTGTACAACAGTATCTCTGCTCTGCCCTCAGTGGGTCCAAGTTGTAAGAATCACTTTGTAAAAAGTGGAACAAGGTTCCTTGATTTCCAGGGAATTAATAGGATATCCAATTAATGATGCTGTAAGTCATTACAAAAACAAGAGGAAAAGGCTCTGTGACAACTAATATTTGACATCGTTTTATTGGTGGCTGCAAGAGCTATTTCACTTCCACTCATCATCTTGTCCTATGTCCGTGCATATTACAGTTTTATAAAATCAAATAAAAATTATTTCTTCCGGCCAGCTAAATAGCCTGATAAGATTGAGAAACTCAGTTCTTGCTAAGTCCTTTATTCACGACAAACGTCAGAATGTGGGTAATTCCCATCTGCTGAGCAGCTGCAATTCAGGCCACAAAGTACAAAGTACACTTAAGCGTTTTACAGTTAGCTCTGGGCCCGCTATTACTCATTAAAACCTCGCTGGAGCCTTAAAGGAACAGGAGCCCCGGGGGCTCCTCAGCATTCCTCCCCCCCACCTGCTACCCCTGTGGCACGTCCCTCCCTGGCTAGCCGTCCTCCAGGGTGAAGCATTCCGGGTGTCCCTCTCTGCATCCTCTCCCTGCACTGCCTGCTTCCATCCTGGGAAAACTTACGATTCACACCTTCATTTAGTGAGAAGTCCGGCTCATCTGAAAGTTTGGTATTCCTCAGTTTAATGAAAACACCATCCCCATTGTATAGTGTGTGACGATGTTTAAAATATCCTTGTTATAAATTGTGATGCAGTATTTTATGTTCCAAAAACATAAGGCCTTTTCTTAGATAATCAGTTCTTTGTGTGTCACATATAAAATGTGTTTAAACCGTGTGTCTGTGTCTTGGGCATCCCTGGCTTCTAGACATCACAAGGCTGTGAGCTTGCAAACTGAGAAGACTGGGCATATGAATCGAATCCATTTCTTATCACCCATTTTAAAGCTTTGTAAAGCCATTGAAAATCTATGCTCAGCAGTCTGTTCTCTGCTGGGTGGCAAATTCTTTAGAGGTTGAGAGGAAAAGGAGTACATATTTTATTTCTTTTTTTGGAGGGGGTCCACATGTAACATTTAGGAGGATTCTAGAAAAAAAAAATCTGTTAAAATTATCACTGACAGGTCATAGATATTGAATCAGTGTCCCACTTATTGACTAGGAATTGCCCAGGTAACACTGCGGTGATTGCCTTTGAATCTTCTAAGCCATGCAATCCCTATAATTACTTTAGGTCCCTTATAGACTTTGGACCCTCCCGTATATGTGAGACATTCAATCACTTTTCCTGTAACATCAGCCTCACTCCTGTACCTCTGTCCTAATAATGTTGCAATGACTTCTCTCATCTTGCTGCCTCCATCTTGTCTTGTGTTGAAATCCGTCTTCCACACTCTACCTGGTGGTATCATCATGTCTTTCCCCTGCCTAGAATCTTTAATAGCTGCCCATTGCCTTCGGAGTGAATTCTAAGTTTCTTAAAATGGTTCACAGGGCTCAATGCTCACCGCTCTCCATTTAATATGTTATAGTCTTGGAGTCCCAACTCTCTGAGCTTTCTTCACAAACTATAGAAATGATTACATGTCCTGGTAAGCTCTTTACACTCTTTTCTTGTGTAATTCTTACCTACCAAGGTTCACTGTAGGCAGCATCTATTCCTTGAAGCTCTCACCCACCCTCCAGACATGACTGAGACCTCTTGCCTGTGCTCACACAGCAACGCCGCCATGTCTGAATGAATGAAGGACCGTTAGTGCAGGCCTTCTGCTAGAGAGCGAGATGCGAATCAGATGCAGGTGATCAATTTGACCATAACTCTTTGATCCTTGTTCCCCTGATGCCAACAAGTCGAATTACAATGTTACAGGCTAATATTTAATTCCCATGTTATATTAGACCCATTTTTTCATCGGGTGCATAAACTAATCATCTTCAAAAGATCCTCTGGTAAGGCATATGTGATTAAAAGAAATATTTGGAATGTGTTCACCACATTATTTGGAATGTGTTCACCAAATTATTGCCATAATTTGTTCACGCAACTTCTGAATTTTCTTTTCTAATTCCTTACTTTATATTTTACCATTAAGTTCCCTAATTTCACTCCAGTACTTTAGTTTACTGAGCTCTAATCTTCTTCCACACTTCGAAATGCTTCAAAATGTCAAAATTTCTGATTAATACTTAATCAGAAATATCCTGCTCATGGTGAGAGAAATATGGAAGATTTCTGTAGTATCCTGTTACACAATGGCTTGTGGATTGGCCAACTTTCTCTGCAAAGGGCCAGGTTATATTAATAAATATCTTAGGGACAATTCCTCAGCTCTGCAATCATAGCAGGAAAACAGCCATGGACAATAAGCAAACAGATTAGAGTGGCTGTATTCCAATAAAACTTTATTTACAAGAACAGGCAACCTGGGACCACAGTTTGTCAACTCCCTGGGTCATCTGGAG